TTCCTGCTCAGGCACAATCCTTTGGCAAGACAAGACTCCCCCCGCAAAACCTTCCTCTGTGATAGGAGGACAAGGTGCCTCTCCCCAAACCAGCCAAGGCTAAAATACAGCCCAGGAGCCTGCTGAAAGCCTCATCATGAGGTGGCTGCAGAGCATCCAAATCAAGTTGTTTCCCGCCCCCGCAGGGATGAAACTGGACCCTGCTCAGCCCAGCAGGGACCAGAGAGGCTCCCCACAGAGCAGATCTGCATCTGTTCTTCCTGACCATTTGCCTTCCCCGTCGCAGAGAGGACAACCACCTCGGCAGCAGGGCCAGGCAGGCCCGCGGACACTCCTCTGCCTGGTGCCAAGGGGTTAAGCTCATAGTGAGTTCCCAAAGCCAGTTGCTTCCAACTGGCTGCTGCCTGTGGTTTGTGGGAAGGGATTTTGCTTTTTAATAACATTATAAATAGGGCTGTGTTCAGCATGCTGCAAACCCAGTTACTCTCTCTCTCCCACCCATCTCCCTCCTCCTCCTGCTTCTTCTCTTCACACCACACTAATTCCAGATCTGACCATGAATCGGTCAGGCTTCTTCATCAGTGTCCTCAGCCTACTGGCATGTCTCGCCTCCATCGTGCAGGCATGTCCTCCGAGCTGCCACTGTCACGGTGGGGACCTGCAGCACGTCATCTGCGACAACGCGGGGCTGAAGAAGATCCCCAAGGTGCCTGACCAAACGCGGCTTCTCAACCTGCAGAAGAACAACTTCCCCGTCCTGCCAACCAACGGCTTCCGCGACATGAAGAAGCTGGTGTCCCTGCACCTCCAGAGCTCACGGATCAAGGAGATCTCAACCGGAGCCTTCAGGGGTCTCAAGAGCCTGGTCTACCTCTATCTCACTGACAACCAGATCAGTGTCATAAAGTCAGGAGCCTTTGATGACCTGTCTGAGCTCACCTACCTGTATCTGGACCAGAACAAGATCCCAGACCTACCCAAAGGGGTCCTCTCCCCTCTTGTCAACCTCTTCATCCTGCACTTGGGCAGCAATAAAATCCGGGAACTGAAACCAGGGGTCTTCAACGGGGCTAAAGACCTGCGCTGGCTCTTCCTGTCTGACAACTCCCTCACCAACCTCCTGCCTGGGACCCTGGAGGACGTAGAAAATCTCGCTGTCCTCCACCTGGACAAGAACCAGCTGAGCAGCTACCCTGTGAATGCAATGAGTAAGCTGAGAGTGCTGGAGGAGCTGAAGCTCTCTCATAACCCAGTTGAGGTCATCCCTGACAATGCCTTCCAGTCCTTCGGGCGCTACCTGCAGACACTCAACCTGGACAACATGAAACTGAAGAAGGTGAGTCCTTTCTCTTTCCATTTGCTTCAGATGAGAAACACAGGGCTTGATTTTCTTCTCCTTTACAAAGCCCTCGGTTTGCCATCCCTTGCAGAGGAGAGGGGAGACATAGACCTGCAGGCTCTGCAGGCAGGGAGGCACTGGCCAGCTGATAACAACCCTGACACGGCCCAAACAAGGGATGAGACAGACAACTCCACCCTTCTGTTATTTTATGCAAAACCAAATTATCAGGAGCGGATGAAACTCCCTGGAAAGGTAGTGCATTCCCTCCCAGGCTGGAGGTGACACCAGTCATTAGGAAAGGTATTTGGGGTGCTCCAGGACACTCAGCAACCTTCCATCATCCTAGGTGCAAGGTGTGGCATGAGAGGCTAGTGTCTGCCTCATACTCGAGGGACCGAAGGGCACTGCCACCCTGCAGAGCTGAGCCCTTCTGCCTCCTTCCTTCAGCCTGGTACCTGCTGTAGGCTGGGAGGAGGAGACTCCTCAGGGGGGCTACGGATAGCAGCAGTTTCATCCCCACGTTTCACAGACAGGTAGGGACACAGACCTTCATCCTTGTCTCCCCCCATGCCTTCCAACTGTGCATGTTATAAAGAAAGGTTTGTTTATTAATGCTCTCTCAAAAGGAGTTCTTGCAGCATCATACAAAGGAGCCCTGTTCCCACTGGAGAGGAGAGGGGATATGCAGGTATCCCAGATGGCAAAACAACCCCCTTCTTCTGTGAGAAAGCATGATCCATAGGCAGGAGCATCACACTCAGGGAATACCTTGCATTAGAAAATCTGAAATGCCAGGTAGTGCAAAAAGAGAAAAAAGCACAGTGCAAGGGCAGCAGCACCCTACTGCAATCCATGTCCTAGGTCCACCCTTCATGTCTGGAAAGGGGGGTGCTGCAGGTGGAAAAGAACAGTTCTCCCTGGGATGATGCTTTGCCAGGAAGCTCAAAGACAAAGGGCATCCAGGTGAGGCAGGGTAGGACAAAGCAACACCCACTACATGCAGGGAGGTGTGATGAAAAAGAGAATTTCTTAGCAAAGAGCAACTTAAAGGGCCTTATAGGCCCTGAAAGCTACCAAGAATAGAGCACACCAGAGTTTTCAGGGGGTTATAGCATCTCAAAATGCTCAAAACCTGGAATTGCAGCTTCCCCAGGTGGAGAAGCTAGTCAGTATTTGAGCCCTTGTCCACTCTCAGCATTAACCCCTCCAGGATGGGAGTAACCAAAGTCAACACTTGAAAACGATCCACTGACCTCTCTAGGCAAGAGCTCAGACATGCTGTCACAGCACTTCTGCAGACTCAGTTTTAAGGCACTTTCATCAAGCACAAGTCAAAAGTTACAGCTTAAATGTTGTGGCACCTGTAGAGACATCAGAGTCCCACATTATACACTGAAGAAAACAGACCAACCCATGATGCTGGGGTGCTCCAGGGAATTAAATGTCCTTGGACTGGCCAAAAAGGGTTAACAACTCTAGTCAGCAAAAAAAGACTTTCTTCTTTTCAGTGACCACCTGCGGATAGGACCTTTAAAGGGTCTTCTGCAGCCAGATGCCTCCTTTCCTCCCGAACAGCCCAGTAAGACACCAGTTTATGGGATCAGCACTAACAGGGGTGGCCTCTGCAGCTTTAAGGCTTGCATTCTTTTTCAGGAAAACAAAGCTCCCATCCCAGCTCAGAGTTTTATTTTCAAATCCTCAAAGGCCTCATATCCAAACGGCCCACGCGTAAACTTTGCACTGCTGGGACACATCTAATCACCGAGGCCTCATGACCTTGGAAGTCACTATCAAATACTTTAAATACCACTGGCATCTTTACTGCAGCTCTTTCTCCTTCACAAAAATACCATCCTGTGCTGTTCCCTGCATGGCTGTGGGACTTTAGAGCAGATTAAGAGCAAAACCCTTCCACATGACGCTATCCCAGCCTATACCAGCACTGAGGAGAGCCCTCGGGCCGCTCCACAGCTCCAGTGCAGAGCTTCTCTTCCCCACCAGCATCATGGACCCACACAAGTCACCTGCAGGGCTGGGGCACATGGGCCAGCACCCACAGCTCACATCCACATGAAACCAGGCAATGCAGATCCTGGAAGCTCTACGTACACCCCTCACTATGTATTTATTGCAAAATCAATTACAGCAGCAATCCTCCACCTAAATAAGGGGGGAAATAATCAATTTCTTTACAAACACATGCTCTGGCAGGCAGCACAGCAGATGCAAACCCTTCTCATAGGGCTGGGAGGGTAATGAGCAGCTGAGACAGTACACCACTGTCCAAACCAGACCGTGGACAGGCTACCGCCCCACTGCGCAACATGCCAGCATCTCTGAGCAGCTCCCCTATTAGCACAGTAAAACCTAACAAGGTCAGCTTGGTTTTGGACCGCAGAGGCCAGCACTGCTGACTGTCCAACAGTTACAGTACTCTGGGAGTCTCTTAGCTAAGCTCTAATCCTATCCAACATTGCTTAATTTGGAAGATGACAAAAGTTCACAGCTTAAAATAGGGCATTTCCTCTGTCAACCTTTTCCGTTTAGAGAGCTTCAACACACCCTGATGGTCCCATCCAAAATGCAACCTTCTGGCCAGAATTGAAAGCACAGAACCTTTACTGGAGTGGGTTCTGATAGACATAGTGGGTCTCCTCTCCACCCTTTAAAGAAAGCTGTCCCCTACTTTGAGAAAGGAGAGAAATAGTTTGTCAAGAATGCCCCTCTCCAATTCATCACTGCTAAGGAAATTTGTGTTGAGGGCTTTGCTTTCAAGAAGAAACTTTACAACCTGAGTAACCATGGGCTGAGAAAAAACAGATGAGACCTCACAAAAGAGAGGAGAGGGCTGCAGAGCCAAATCTACAGCCTCTCTTCTCTCTTTGGCAGCTTTTTTAAGGGAGGCTCTCCCTTAAAGCCTGCCCATTAATCAAGAAGAGACAAATCTTGCAGCATCCTTTGCAAACAACTCACTGGAAATGAGGAAAAAAAAAACAGAGAAGGTTGAGGTGCTAGAAACCTGCCTCTATTTCTGCACTGCTTGCATGCCAAGTGTAACTTTCCACTTGGAGCCCCCGGGCACTGCCAAAGTCTACAGCCCCTTCAGACGCCACAAACACTCCCTCCTTCAGCTGTTCCAGGACAGGCAAGGCAACAGGCACTGGGAGCATTTCCAGCCTTGGAAAGGAATAGAACCAGAAAATATCTTCATTTAGAATGGAGAAGTATGACTGAAAAATAGAGAGGGCTGCCAGACTTCATTTTATTTAGGGATGTGGCTGCAAAGACATGGATTTGGGATGCAGCTCTCTTCAGGCAGGAGATTCCATCACCCATGAGCCCACCAGCCTGGTGCCTCTCCTGGGTATCCAGGGCCTCCAGCAAGCAAGGACCTCCCTCCACTGCTCCTTCTCTTGCTCCCTCCATGCTCACACCATGAAGTCTTGAACAGAGGCACTCAGGTTTGAAGTCCTTTTCCCTAACCCAGTGTTCCTCACCAGAAACCCTTGTGCTTTAGTTTGCAGATAACGCATTTGCTGGTGTGACCGGGCTGAAGACTGCTCACCTGGAGAACAACCGGCTCACCCAGCTGCCCCGCAACTTCCCCTTCGACAAAATGGAGACACTGACCCTCTCCCGAAATGCCTGGCACTGCAACTGCCAGCTAGCACATCTGCGCAAGTATGGCACCACGTACCACTGCCCTCCCCATGCTCCCTGGGGTCTCCTTGGCGGTCTACCCAAGGGAGGTCCCCCTGAGCTGTGCCAGGCAAGAGGAGGCTGCTGAAGGCTGCTCAGCAGCTCTCTCTCCAGCCTGCCCTCTCCTTTCATGGTATGAGTTGTCCATGATGGTTTGTACCTCTTGTAAACTCACGGTACTCTTCCTCCTTGTGTCCCAGGTGGCTGAAGGGCAATCGCACCCGCGCCGAGGAGACCTGCTCCACGCCCGCACAGTACCGGGGGCAGTCCATCAGAGACACCCCGGCCCTCCGCACCTGCAAGCTCCCCACCAAGAGGTCCAAGAAGGGAAGCCGCCATTAAACATGTAAGGTGGTTCACTTTTAGTCAGACCTACAGCAAACCCTGATGCCACCAAAGGTACAGGGACTTTAATGACACTAGGGTTTGGCTCAACACAGCTCATCCACTCACCCACTGACACCTCTGCTCAGAGCTGCTCCATCTCCATGGGCTCCCAGAGCAGGTAATATGTCTGGAGCATCAGAGATGGAATCAACCCTGGAAAACAACCACAGGGCTAAAGACAGGCCTGGGGCAACAAGTAAGGGTGAAACAGATAATTAAGTGCCAAAACAAGGGTGGATTTAGCCCACTCTTAACCCTAGCTGGGATCACACGCGCTTTACTTTTCTAACTGGAGACGCTCAGTCTTTTGCCCCAGTAAAGATACTCCGGGTCTGGTTTAAAATGCAGGGCAGGACATGGCTGGGAAATCTGGCCACAGACTGCCCAGCCCATATGAAAACAGATGACTTCCACGAGGAGCAGTTCTGAGTCCAGCATCTGCCTTTCAGCAACTGCTATTCCCATCCAAGGCACTCGGGTATTTAAAAACAAGGGCTGATGCCTTCAAATTAGTGTCTCAGAAGAGGGAGGTTCGAGACAGCAAACATTCTTTGAATAAAGCGTTCTGGGCCAGAAGGTAACTCAGAGACAGGGCTGACTTTCCCTTGAGCAATGAGCTTGCCGACATCAACCAACCCAAACAACAACCTTGAAAACCTATCACACAAACACCTTCCACAACTGGAAACTACCACGAGTATTAAATTCAGCACACAGAGAAGCCAGAAAGCCACAACTGTCAGCACTTCATCCCAAGCATCTTGCTTTTCCCCAGCCCAGGAATAGGTCTGGAGCTTGTGTGGATTCCAAAGGACTCTGGTCGAGCCTGTAACTTTGTCAGCTCCTGGGAAAGGGCTTTGCTCATTTTTTAAGTAAAGTGCCACAACTTTGCACTGCACTGTATGAATGAGGGTTGTCACTGTGCCCTTTCATAACAGAAAGAACAAGGCACAAGCCCAAAACCCAGTTATGGCTGTTTGGTCCCCAGTTCACCAAGGATATACATAACAGGATAGAGAAAGTAAATTTATGACCAAAATGTCAGGGAAGATGCCAGCTGTTCTGCACCTTCCTAAAGCAGTTGTTTCTCTTGCAGTGCCAGAGGTTTTATGGATTAGAAATGGAAATACCACTCGTTCCATATAGGGTGTGTAACATTCTGCTCTAAGGATGGAAAAACTTCAGTTTTCTAAACCACAATACTTAAATGTACTTTATTTACAGGTCTTAACCTTCTTCTCTTCCTGCCTGAATTCAATTCCAGTTCACTCCTCCATGATGAGAGTAAGAAAACCATGACAATAATACCTCTTTTTTCTATAGCACCTTCCATCCAGCTCTCTCAACCAGGTTTACAAGTATTAATGAAATAGAAAACTATTTACTCCAGTCTTGCAGAAGACAAAGCTCGGTACCTTCAGGTGCAAGCACCAAAATATGCAGGCACACAAACCCACTCCAGTGTGGTGAACAAGATTTCAAGGAATATGAAGTCCCTCTGACTTCACTGTGCACCTCTGGAGAGCCAGGTAGCTTTCTAGATGTCAGCTATGAGGGTCTGTATTTCAGCAACGTGGGTCACTGACCACATTTCAGATGAAAGGCTGCTTGGCAGTTTCTAAAAGTCTACCTGCCATGGCTTTTCAGAACCAAGGCATCAAAATAATTCATTAGTCTTGTAAAATTTTGCTCTTGGGTTTCTTCCTTTCTGAAGGAAGTGCTTGCTGACTATCAGCACATTGGGTATGATACTCAAGAGTTACACAGGAGTTGGCAGATGTCAGCGACAGGATTAACCCATCTCTTCTACTGTGGGAACTCGTAACGGCTCCTTGACTCATACCTCTTCCAAGTATGGGCTTCATTCACTCACTGAGTGTAAAAATAAAGAGACAAATGCTAGACGTTTACTGATCTGCTTGAAAAATTCCCTTAAATATGTGGATTTCTCTCTTTTTTCCCCTAGCAGTCCCTGGCACGGCCTGTCCTGGTGACCGGTCACATCAACCATCAGAAAACTACTGACTTCTGAGTCCTTCCTTAAGCTTCTCCTACCTGTCAGGAAACATTTCTGATATATCTGAACATCTCCAGCCTCCTCCGAATCCCCGCTTCTCTGCTGATTGCAGGATGGAATCCACCTTTCCAATCTTTTCCGACATCTATATATTTAAAAAAGAGGCATTTTTAAAAACTAAACTATGCATGACCATACTAAGACAAGCTAACCTAGATCCTGCCAGTAAAACACAGTCATCTTTCCCAGAGGCAACACAACCCACATCCTCCATCAACCAGTTGGTCGCTGTCTCTCCCCTTCCACTGGAGTGGAAGCAAGTGGGAAGGTAGGAGCATCCCTCCCCCACCTGTTTGATCAGAAAAATTGGTCTCAATCCATGCAAAGAGACTCCTCTGCCTTCCCATGGAGGGGATCCCTGCAGGCCAGGGCTGAGGGGGAGAGGTGAAGTAATGCCCGAGAACCAGTGACCACGAGACCAAGTTGCCCTTTCCACCAGAAGGCAGCAATCTTCCTAGGTTGACCAAAATCATTTAAGTGACGTAGTACTGGGAAACCCCGAAACTGAAGCCATCTGAAGACTGGATTCACTCTGTGGGCTCTACCGAGATGCCTGTACATCTGAGAGGAGAAGGCATGCACCATGCAGCCTGGCATGGGCACCCCTCTCTTCTCTCCGCCCATGCTCCGAGGATCCAACAGGACACCAGGATGACTGTGGGTTATTGTCACGGCTATTACGATACCACAGTTGCAACTTAACTGCATTTTTTAATCCTAAAGAGTTATATAAATATATGTATATTTATTCCTCTGTAACTGAGTGTAAATGACCTTTAAGAGGATGAAAACTCCTCTGTCTCCTAGATAGAAATCAAATTGTATATTTTCTTATGTACATCTTCTGTATAAAGCTCTTGCTGCAAAGATGAATTCAACAAGTCTGCCTGTGTCTATCTGAGGGCTGGGGGATCAGAAGTAACACAAGATTAACGGTACAAATATAGACTTAATCCTCTTTAGCCTATGTGCAGAGCAACTGTTTGGGAGGGTTTTATTATTTCTCTTTCTACAAAGCAGGAACACATGACACCTAATGAGTCCTGGGCACTGGCAGCAATGTCTGAAAATATTCTGTGAGGCCAAACTCAAGCCTACTATAAAAATAGGTAGATGTCACCTCACAGTATCCGGGCTGGCCTGGTGTTTTCAGCTCGGCATTAAGAGCATCACATCCAGGAAATCCTTGGCTGCCTCCGAGACGGCTCCAGGACAGATGCTCTGGAATCCGCTTCCCACAGCAGAGGACAGTCTTGTCCCTGTAAAACCCTGGTGCTGGTGCAGTGTGGGTCTGCCAACAATAATATGCACAACCCATCTCCTAGTCCCGTGTGTTTGTCCATCACAACTGTCTCCTTCCTCTGCATTTGCAAGCGGCACAGCACCAAAGTTATTTCCTTTAAAGTAAAACAAAACCTGCTTATAAAATACGTCACCTAGAGTGCCACCAATCTCCTCGCTGGTGGCCTGTCCCCTTCCACACACAGGACATGCTGATGCTCTTGCCAAGGGTGCAGGGACATGCGATGGAGCAGCAGCACGCATGATCTGACACATGCTGCCTTTCGGGCAACCCAGTGCCCGATTCTGCATGTGTGGGTGCCCCCATTCCCACACTCAGACTCAGACACGTAGCATGCAACAAGGTTTGATATCTGCATGCAGTCTGGGATGGTGAAAGAAATCTGACAGCTCCACAGCAAGATGAACACATGCACTCACCCATGCCAATACAAACCAGCAGCGCCTCTTCCATAGTCATTCATCCTTGCAGCATGTACAACAGAAGGGTTTATAAGCTTTGTAAGGCACCAGGAGTTCAGTTTATGACACTGAATGCAACTTCTCTTCTTACAAAGCTTCCTCCACAGCAACCAGGCAGAATCCCCCTTTTTCCTCCCAGCCCCTCACTCCTCAGCCTGGCGCCACACTTAGGGTCCCATCATGCCCAATCCCAGCAGCTTCAGCACCACCGGGTATCACTGCAGTGTAGAGATGCCCAAATTCGGTCCCACCACAACAAACAGCACTTGTGGCTCTGGTCACAGCAAGCACAACTCACCACCATCTCGGGCATGTGCATCTTGGTGATAACCACCTTCATGATCTCAGGGGGAACAGGAGAGCCTGCAATGATTCCTGAAAGAAAGAGGAAAAGGTGACTGTCTTGGAAAACCATCGACTCATTTCCAGGAGCAGTCCCTCAGAAGGTTCTGTGCTCCCAGATTTAAATGCTGGCAAGACCGTTAGGATACACCGGTTCCTGTCAAAATATTTTATATTTTTATGGATACAGGTCCCAGTTATTCTAGAAGTAAAGGCAGTAGTAAGGCCAGTTTGTCTGAATGAATGGATTAGCAGAGCTGATTTGTTAGGAAAATAAACTCCACAGCAGAAACCTAGTCCAAGCTGCAGTTCCTGAAAATGAAAGATTGAGAGCAGAAGGAGGCACAGATTTTTAGCAGGACAAACACTCCCACAGAACCAAAAACCTTTCCTTCTGCCTTGCACAGAGCAGCCCTTCTGGGAGAGGGCAAACCACACTTTCACCTGTCCCATGCTAGGATGACAGAACAAAAGAGCAAGGTAATACATAGGCTTTGCTGGGGAACAAGGCAACACAGGATTATTTTTCACATAACAGAGATGACTAGGTAATATGCTTAAATGTTTCTTTATGCTTCAGCAGCATCTTCTCTCTGTGCTGATACTGCATCATAAGGGCTGGTGGTCACCCCGTTTCGGCTCAGCTATTTCTTGTTGCCGACTGGGACAAGGGAGAACACACCAGCACACATTATCACACCCTCTCGAACGCTTGGATGAATAACCTCAAAACCAGGCAGGAGAGTTCAAGTCAGAGAAGTCACAGTGTAGCTCTGCTTTAGGGCTGCACCAGCCTCAAGCACACAATGGATCTGCTGCCACATGGTGGTGGCTGGTGAGAAGAGAGATGAGAAAAATCAGGCTGGTAAAACAAAAACATCCTTCCCCAATCTGCTTTAAGATGAAAGAAATCTTAAAAATGCATAATTCTTGAAGGAAATCCCAAAGAAAGGAAATGTAGCATCAAATTAACAGTGAAATACAAGGGGCTCATGCAAATAAACTTTTTCCTCTGGAAGAGCCGTTTGTTTACAAAGCTTAACGCAGCCTCCCAGCAGGGATCCAGAAATATCCAGTTTCTCGGGATTTTTCCATTTGATTTCTGAGACTTACCTCCCCGGAGGCTTGACAGGTCATAGGAGCCAAAGTCCGGCTGGGAGAGCATGTCTATAAACATGGTTGGTGTGCCGAGCAGATAGGAGCATCTTCAGGAAGGGGAGAGAAAAGGCAAAGCTGCAGAGATGGGACCAGGGCAGCTCCAGCACAGTGCCCTGTCCCGTCCCACTGCACATAGGATGGCAGAGCAGCAGCAAAGGCAGGCACAGCAAATGTGCTCTTCATCCATGCACATATATATGTATATATAAAAATATATAAAAATATACATACATATGTGTATTATGCATGCACAATGTCAGCTCACTTGTTTTACAAGCTGCACTTGATGAACAATCTGGAAATGCAACTATCTCAGCAGCAGAGCTGGACTTGAAGAAGGAGCACAGGCGGTTAAGCGTAAAAACAAACCAGCCACAGCAACCCAAGAGACTTTCCAGCCAAATCCCTACAGTGACCTGAAGAAACCCTTATTTTTGGGAAAAAAGAAGCATGACAAACTCCCAAGTGCAGCCAAAAAGGCAGGATTTAGGCTCCTGAAGCATCTGTGTGGGTATGTGCACCAGCAAACCTGCCTCTCCCATCATGGGAAGGAGGAGCGCAAGCAATGGCCTGGCAGACAAAACAAGGGCAGAAAGCGTCACCACAAGGTGATAAACTCCTCCATAGCAAGACACAAACAAGCCCTCACCTCTCTCGAGACACTGCCTCCAGGGCAGCCTTCCCCTCGAAGCTCGGTGATGAGAAGATGCAGGAGGACCCGTGCAGAGCCATCACCATGCAGCCGCCCACCGACGACAGGCAGTGATAGAGGGGTGCGGGGAGGCAAATACGACAGCCCTGGGATCAAGGCAAAGACAACAGTGAGGAAGGGTCTTCCAGGCTGTGACCAGCCCATCCCACTGCTGAAGAACAAAAATTTGAACAGAGAAGTTTTCACTCAAAACTTGCTGGAAATCTGACATTCGTCTGTGTCCGTTAAGTGGAAACACTACGTCAAAGTTTCCTGCCTTTAATAAAAGTCAGTTTGGGAAGTTTTTAATGTCAACATTTTGTTCTGTAATTTTGCAGTGTCTTTTCTTTGCTGGACTCTCTGGTCTGGTATTGCTTACACAATATTTTATGATATGCCAGAAAAGAAGAGTGGTAGGGCTATGACAAGCATGAAATATTCAGGACTTGGCACATGCTATTAATTTTATTTTGTTTCTGAAAACACCAAAGGCTCTGAAGCCTGATTGAAACAACCCATCTTTTTTTCTGGATCAAAGCTGTTATGTTAGAAATAACCACTTCAGAACTTCAAAGGAAAATATTTGCCTTTAACAATTTTTAAAAGAAACTACAAATAGAATGGTCATATCCTGATAAGGGTTACAAGGCTGTATACATGACATGAGACAGTCATGTAAAAGAAATTAAAACCTCATTCAACAGAATTCAAAGCTTACATCTGGAGTCTTGTCATCATTTGCAATGAGTATTCACCAAAATGAAAAGTGATTAATTTCACAATTTTTCCCCCACGTATTTTTTCCTTCAGAAAAAAAAACTTCATGTGAAACTGAAAAGAAACATCAATGAAACTCCACTGAAATGACAAATGTTATGCACAAGTATCCCTCAACGTCATTTGCAGCAAAACATCCTGCCCTTCTGCTGAGCAAGCACCACCGCTCTCCATACGCATGGTCCTCTTGCCAGTGGAGACCACCCCAAACCCTGTTTCAGCGAGACCCACCTGCTCTGTGATCCCCAGCCTCAGCCCGATCAGATTGGCATTATTCACAACATTCCTGTGAGAGAGGGTGGCTCCTTTGGGGCTTCCTGTCGTTCCCTGCAAGACACAGAGCGTTCTGCGATGATGCCACCCTTCCCGAGGATGAGCTACCTGTGCTCTCTGGTGGGATTTTTCAGGCAGATTCTGGGGTGATCTTGCACTTCATTCTCCATTCAGATCTGGGAGACTTTTTTTTTTTTTAACAGCATCTTCATCCCAAACCAAACAATTAAATGATTCA